CAGCGAGTGAAACAATAGTGTGACCTTTGTCAAGTATACCAAAGAAAACACCCACACATATGTGCATATATCTTCTAACACCTGGTTTGAGCAGAAAAGAAAAAGGAAAAAGTAGCAACTAAAAGCGAAAAAATAACAGCCTTGGGTGCGTGGAAAGAAATAAGTAGAACAGCCAAAGAATAGGAGAAAGCATCCGTAGACTGGTGTGGGTGTGTGCGCAGTGAGTGATCCCTGCTGGCGCAAAAAAACGGCCACTCTGAAATTCTGGGTTTTCTTCTGTACAAAGAATTTCCCTGGGGCTTTGTGTTCAGAAGGAAAAAAATGAAAGATTATGCTGCTTGAAATAAGGAACGGTGTAGAGGTTGGTAGACCCTACAGAAAAACGCCACTGCGAAGAGTATAGCACGCTCTAGCTCCCCGCCATCACAGGAAATCTCGAGACGACACACAGTGGGGGCAGACACTGTGCATGCGAGTACGGGAACACGCAAGAATGGCGTGCGGAAGGGAGGAAAGACGGATTATCTACACAGTTGGAAGCAAGTTTCCGAAGAGGACAGGATGGGGTGCGAAGGACACCCCAGAAATGTACACAGCCCGAATCACCTGGCTTCGTTGCCAGATTTCTAGAAGTCCACGCCTGACCGGCACTGGAACGGAGCATATGTAACAGGTTGGTTGGGAACCTGAGGCTGGGGAATGATTCGTTCCGAGGAGGCATGCATGAAGTGCGGATCCGAGGACGCAATGACAGGATACATCTTCTGTACAGGCACAGACTACAAAGTGAACAAAGCATATAAACACGTATCAGAGGTGAAGCAATAAAGGTCTTTTGGCCTAGTTAACGGACAAGAAGACAAACTATTGGTTTACTACTCAGTTAGAAAACATGCTAATCAAAATGCATGCTAAAGGATCCTTAAACCCTCTGCACTAAGGGCTACATTGAGACGGGCGGACCAGAGCATCAAATGAACTAGGCAGTCTATTCACACGAATGGCACTGGCAGGTTGAATTTGCCAGGGGGCATCTTGACCTACTAATTTTGTGAACAGTTCCGTACTCCTTAAATTTACCAAACAGACAGGCCATTGTCGCTCACCTCCCGCAGTTTCCTAATGCGAGCTGAAATTTCCACATTTTCAAACCTCCCGGCACACACTAAAACCGGGCTGTGTGGCTTCCCCGTCTTTTCCATGAGTATTATAGCTTGGCCATATAACTAAACGGTGTATGAAGTTACAAACTGTACTATGACTGTAGTGCTAACAAGAATGCCATTCAATGCTTGCTTGGTCTGCGAGAATTTTACTGGCAAACAGAACACAAAATCCCCAGCCAGATAGTAAATTTTATAATTGCTTACGGCTGTAGGAAGGTTGCAAAAGTTGGCAGAGGGGTAAAATGGACAAGTACATGTGCGTAAACCAAAAGCGGATAAATGAGTCGCCGGCAAAGTGGGAAAGAACACGTGGCCGACAGCCAAGTGTCTGCCGCGCCCACGAAACGACTGTGAAGGCGGGCAACACCCAAGCCAGTCAAAGTCGCAGTGAAAACAGGTAACGTTAAATCTTCCGGCGGTGGGCTGAGCATGTAGTAGGTTATGCCATCACCGGCCCCTGAGTGCACAGCAAAAATCAGGGCTGATTTAGGAAATTCCGGACGTCAAATTATAACCTGACACAGTTCGAGACCCCAACAGCAGTTCAGTTGTCTTAAAGGCGAACGTGCGATTGGCTCCTGCACGACAATACTTCTGCCGAAAGTCGGGACCATGAAGAAAGCTCTCGGTATTATCCACTTTACTTGCGCTGATGTTTGTTGCAAAAAGATATTCGACTCCGCCCAAAGACTGCTGCAAAAGAAGCAGCATTTGAGAAATATCATTGGGCTTGAGTTAGAGAAAGCCGACTCCCAGCAACCAGTGGAAACACTTCACTGCATAGTCTGTGTTGGTATACGGCCACGAGCAGCAGCAAAGAGCAATGTATTTACCGTTACCGATCAACCTAGCAGTGCCATGGGTCATTGGATCTGGGTTTACAATTACTAGCATTTTAATTCCACGAAACTTTCCCCTAACAGCTGGACAGACATGACTTTGAGGAGGGACGACAGAATTCCTGATTGAAACATGACTTTGTCAGGTTTACATCAAACCTACAGTAGTAAATAATTGCTCAAGTCTGCATACCTGCTGAGTGTTCGTAGAAAACACGAGTTTGTCTAACCGGTCTTAGCAACTAATACCCAAGAAGTTACCGGCTAACGACTTGGCGTGAGTGGTAGTGCGTGACCACAGGAGGTAGTTAACGTTAATTAGATGGTCAAGTGCACGAAAAAGGCATTGAAAGGCGCCAAAACGGCCACTAATAGTACAGTGCTTCGAGGAAAATGTGCTATCACAAACTGTCGCAAGTAGCTTGTTTCTATGCGTTTCTTATTTGGAGAAAGCAGTTCGCCGAACCACATAACAGAATCGGATCAAACTCCCTGCCAGTTTAGCAAGTTACGTGCTTTATGATTTAACTAGGACATGAGTGTCCTAGGGATGAGAAAGACCTGCAGTCTAACAAGTTCGAAATGCACTGAAGCTCGACACCGGGATAAAAATCCAATTGCTCGAGCCTAATTTTGCGATTTATCTGGTTAAAACAGACAGAGGTCGCGGACTACCTCCCTTAGTATGAAGGTGAACGACCTCGCAATTTCAGAAATTGTTAGGGTCACTTCTAGCTGTTTTATGCCGCTACCAAGGTGATAACCACTACTGCTCACTTCGCCTACACTACGCTCAACATGTGAGCCCAAGGTGACTACAAGCCCACTACGTAAATCCTAGTGGTCGGTCTAGCCTGCCTGTAGATAATGTTCTGATAAATTATCGCGAATCGGGGTCTCCAAAAAAAACAGATAAGTTACAAAATGCAGTGCGCGTTTGCAAAACGTGCAGCCAAAATCAATGTAGAAACCAAAGCATGACTTTGGTGTGAGGAAAAGTATCGGGACATAGTGCAAATAGGATGACGTGTGTTGCAGACATTCAACAAATAGCTTGTGTCAATGAGTAGATAAGGTGAGTTTTATTAGAGCATGGAGACTGACATTGACTTACATGCCAAAGGAAGCTTACGGCATCGGCTAAAATGGTTTTGAAGAACAAGATGTGGAGCTTATGAGTGAGAGGACTGAACAGAAAATTTGCTAACGATAGATCTGATTTGATCCTAGTAGAGCATGTGCGAAGGAATAAAACTCCTAACTGCTCGATAAAAATATTATTACATCCGCATGATTTGGAGGAAACTGGAAAGGGAAATACGGCGGGTTGTAGATAGTTCTCCTATTCATCACTAACGGGAGCACCGGGAAGAAGGGTTGGAAAGAAGAGGATGGAATAGAAGATGATGAGGAGTAACAGAGAGAGTGGAAGACGAAGAGAAAGTGAAGTTAGGCGAAAATCATGACGGAATGGAGGGAGGTGGAGAAGAGCCGGGACAAAACGGGATGCATAAGAGGTAAAACAAGCAGGAGAAGGACAATAGAAAGAAAGAATATGTAGAATAATAGCCGGAAACATTAAGAGAGAAAGAAGTGCAAGCAATATCGTACAGGTTTTGTCTCAAGAATAGTTAGTTATTGAGTCTTTTACGCAAATGAGCAACAACACCTAGGCCCGAATAAAACCACAGCCAGGTTTAGGTTCTGCGTATCTAGATGTTTACACGTACTTCTGTGCGCTTTTATTTTAGGTAAAAAAAAAAACAGAAACGATGTCATTCATTACAAGCTTTGCGTAACAATCCTCTAATTTTACTCAGAAAAGTTCGTGATGAGTGCTTAGTGGGTTACCTTGGAGTAAAGTCTAAAAGACCATGGAAAAATGTGTGTCCGCGGATGACTAGTATAAGTCGACACAAGGGACGAAGACCGGTACTGTCCTGAGGACACAGATGCGGCCTATACTACATCGGCGTCGCTTTCTTCTCATGCTCATTCGATTCTAATTACATGAACTCAGGACGACATATGTGGCGTTTAGACATAGCTAAACACATACACACACACACCAACTAGACCACAAAAAAAGCATCAGACCCCTCACCCAAGTGAGTCGCAATAAGGGTCACACTAAGCAGCCGTTGTAATCCAAAACCCTAATACACTGAACAAAGTTCTGCGATAAGCTGGCAAACACTCACGACACGACTCAGCGCGCCATGAGAGTTAAGTGCGTTAGATTGCTTATGTTGAGGCTGTTATGCGTTGTATTCGAGTTGGATTCGCATCATATTTTCTTTCCTTCCCCGTGTTGGTGGCAAGGCCGAGTCAAACCACTTGCTGATGAGATTAAACGGACTGGCTGACGTGATGTGAAGTGCTCCGCAGAAATACAGTAGGTGGGCCAACTCATGAAATGTCGACCGGGATTCCGAAATGCGCTTTCGTTCCGAAAAGATTAAGTAGGGTTGTAAAACTAATCCTTCTGAAGCACAATTTTAAAATAATTCAGTTACTCCAGGATGCCGGCTTTCGAAAGGATTTCTTTCCGGCCGCATGCAAAAACCACACTGCAAAAAATAACCGCTTATGTACCATGCATTTCTCCCGTGAATTTTTGATGCCCAAAAATTATACTTCGTGGAAAGCATGAACAAAAAAAATTAATTCTTTCACCCATTCCGCAGAAAATTACGTCTTCTTCCAATTTTATACTTGAAGAAAGGTAATGATTCGGTTTTCAGAAACTTTTCCAATTCCTAAATAATTTAGAACCCGACTTGACGTCACACTTGCATTCAGGGTTTCAAAACTACAAGCCCCCCTTTTTCTAGGTACGGCAAACCATACATTTTTCTACGGTATTAAAAGGAAACTAGATGGAGTTTGTGAGATTTAGCAGTGAATTTGAGCCACATTGTTAACTTTACAAGCAACACTGTTGAATGCAGAGACATGTTTTATGAACGGCCATTTGACGGTATTAAAAAAATCTCACTATTAGAAAGTTTTAAAACTGAATTATACCATTTCTTCGAGTACAAAGTTAGAATAAAATGTAATTTTCTACGGAATGGGCGAAAGAATCAATATTTTATTCATGCTTTCTACGAAATATAATTAGATTTTTAAGGGCGTCGAAAATTCACGAGTAAAATGAATGATATCTAAGCAGTTATTTTTTGCAGAGTGTGGTTTTTGCATGCGGCCGGAAAGAGGTTCTTTCGAAAGCCGGCACCCTGAGGTAACCGAATAATTATAAAATTATGCTGCGGGAGGATTAGTTTTACAACCCTACTTAATTAATTCTTTCGGAACGAAAACGCATTTCGGAATTCCGGTCGACATTTCATGAGTTAGCCCACCTGCTGTAACTATTGTTTCCGCCTTTTACCTCTTTCTGAGTTTTTGGTATGACGGAGCCGCCATTGAAATAAAGCGGAAATGAAAGATACGAACCGGGTTTTAGCCTGAAGAGCACCAATAGTTTTTTTTGTATTCGAACACCATGTGGATGAGAAAAAAACTAAGTACGAGGGCAAAATGATCTTAAAGATGAGAAATATTGCATCTGATTGGCCGAAGACGAATTTCTGTTAAATTATCAATTAATTTCGTTCGGCAGTACTCCTTCGCAAGAGAATGAAGGTGGGCTATGACCAAAACGATGACGATGAGGGTTACTTCTATGCATTAGTGTCTGTTCGAATGAGGTTAGGAAGCACACCTAGAAACACACCAGAACAACATGGGAATCTAACTGTTCAGCGGCCACCATTAAAAACAGTCCCCGACATAGGAGGCGCAGAGAACGTTCTGTCCGAAAGAGCCTACGTACATAAAAAAAGCCTTCACTACAGGCTGAAAATTTAGACACTGAAGATAACAAAAACAGAAGCACTAGGGTGAAGTATTATAACTACAATTTGTTTCATAACAAAAAGTTTATGGGACATATGCAATAAGCCAGCTGCGTAATTAATCGCTGTTGGATACAATGTAGACCCCGCTCCGAGTCGGCTGTTACAAGAAACTGTCAAATGCTCACTTAAAACACCAATACGTTTTCATATCGGCAAAAAAGCATGAAATTCCAGCGCTAAGCTTTGTGGCAATTAATTCACGGTACGGGCAGACAGAAACCCATTGATGGAAACGAGCAAGTTCCGTATACGTTATACGCAGTCTACACATAGCAAAGCAATAAATCTGCCATGTGATGGACTCTTTCGGTCTTTCAGTTCGTGAGACACGTCTTAAGAACGCCGAAAAAGAGAGAGAGAAACGGATTAGGACTCGGTCTAGTGCATTATTTCCACATGTTCTGGAGTCGCCGTAGCTCGCTTTTCATTAAAGTGACTGGAGAGCTTACGGTGGAATTTTTCAAGGGTCAATGAAATCATACTCGTCACTAGGGTATGTGCTGAGCAGACTTCGTGCTTCGTAGACGGAAAAAAAATATTTAAGCGCACAGCTAACAATGGCAAATACAAGTTATGAAGGTGGAACCCGACAAGATAATTGAGTTCGGATTTCGAGTAGCCTATTTAAAGATGGGAGTCAAACTAAGAAGGGTAAGGACGCAAAAAACTCAAGACCCTTGGGCCTAACGGGCTGTCTAATATGCTTGTTGCTGTTGGAAAAATATCAGGGACCGTCTTTTAGGTTGTGATACAAAAAGAGCATTTGCTACGGCAGAAAAGGCCTCACAGCAAAAGTACACACCGTGCACACTTACTAGGAAGGCTTTCTCCTCGGCGTCACAGTCAACTTCATAAGCTCCAGGTGTGAAAACGGCCTCGGCTTCCGCCTTCTCGACGTTCGCCAGGTTTAGGCTGCTTTTTGACATTTGATACATGCCAGACTGCGGAAGGAAGACCTCATCACCGGGAGTGGCAACAGATGGGGGCGTCCGATAGGTAACTCCAGTGGATGAAGAGCGCGCCGCGGGGAGGGACAATGGCAAATTAAGGTCACTTTGCTCCAAAACTCTGGGGCGGTTAGCAAAGCTAGTGATACGCCGCGCTTCCATCCCGTGCTCCGGATCGACGTGTGCATCGCATATGGCTTCGGCTGGGACCCCAGAATTAACAACATACACTGGCAACACGGGTGTGGAGACGCTGCCAGGGTAAGGGTTGTTTGGCAAGAAACTGTCCACTGCTGTAGCGCGGAAGTGTTCACCATCCACGTCGTTCTTAGTGGAATCACAGACGCCTTGGTTAACTGCGTCGAGGGAGGACTGTTTTAGATGATTAGGAAAGCGGTCACGAGAGTAAGGATTCTCTCGGTTCAACTTGGACGTTGTGTTTCCTGGGGGCCCCTCGATGTCAGTTGGGAGGTTGTTCGGCATTTTTATGACGCCTCGATTTTCTGACGACCATGACGGTAGGCAACCACCGGAAGGAGGGTATTGGTGAGGATCGACGCTTCGGATGGAATGGTAGCCACTTGTGTCGCTGCCCGGAGTCCCCGTAATGGACGCGGTCGACCCGTTTGCTCCTCTTGGGGGCAAAAGAGAAGCGTCATGAATACGAGGCTTTGTTTGAGCGGACAGCAGTGCGCTGGAGGAGTCGCCCGAAGCTAAGGCACCAAAAGCATGATTCGACACCGAATTTTGGGCTGCTTGCCGTCGTCCAGGGAAGTTATTCACTTTTCGGCTGACACCACAGTGGGCTGAAACGTTCGGAGACCGAGAATAAAATGTCGGAGAATTGGCAGCGGGAGTGAAAGCCCTGGAGACTTGAAGTTGGGGTTTCAAATTGGGAGGCGGGAGAGCTTTCTGCGCGTTGACGCCAGAGCCCTCGGGTACAGACGGGAAAAACCGATTGCTGTTGTTGCAATTCTCAGTGTCGTGAACACGCATTTCATCGTTTTGCATCCTTGTCCCCGAGTTGGCGTCAGATATCCGGAAGGCATTGTTAGCACTATGCAACCTATTCGCAAGCTGCGAATTCGGTTGAGCTTCCGGACGGGTATCGGCCTCATCGTCGGACAATTTTGAGTCGTTCTCACTCTCGTCTGCTTCGGCAGCCCACTGACTTCCAATCGTCAAGGGAGCGGCGCGGGTCATGTCCGGACAGTTACTGCCGTCACCTTGGTCGACCATAACGACGACAGCATGCGTACAGCTGGTATCGCAACGGGTTCCCAATCCGATACCTGTCAGACTTGCAGTGCTTCCGACAGTCCCCGTACTGTTTCGCACGTTAGTCGAACTTGAATTAAAGGGTCGACGATTCCATTGGCAACTGTTACCGAGTCTTGAGCCGCTCTCGTCACTCTTTTTCAAACCTTCCTGCTGAGTCTCAGTAGCCTTTGTAGGTGAGACCTTAGATTGTGATGCATGCTGCTCAGCGTTGCGGAATGCTTCACGAGCTTTGCTTGCTAACTTGTTATCCTTAACAAAACGTGGCGTATTCATTGCATAACTCGATCGGAAATACGGGGCATAAGGTGTCTTCCTGAAGACAGGGTTACCCTGGGTCTGATCCCCATTGTTATTGATAACACCATCGTCTGAAGCGTGGTTGGCGAAACCGCTACCTATTGAAAGTTTATGCAGATTGGTTGCTGACCCACCAATACCGCCAACAACTCCACTCGGAAACACTTTATTTCCCCCGTTGGTTGCATTCGACGCATCAGCGGGGATGTTAGAACTGCTTCCACCGTGGCGTGCACCGCTGAAGAAACCGCTGGTAACCACTAGACCAGCACCGCTCTGGGTAGGAGCCATGGCTCTGGTGTGTAGCAGTGCAGGCCCGCGAACCGCTTTGGTGGCGTCGGTTCCCATTCCTTTGCCAGCTTCTGGAACTGGGGATGCATGCAAATTAGTGTGGTGTTGGTTGGTTTCGCTTGTTCCTCCGGACTGATCAGAGGACACCTCCCAATCAAAGGGATCACTCTCGCTAATCGACCTCCGTTCCATATAATTTGAGAGTAAGGATTGTAGAAATTGATAGTCAGGTTTGTCAAAGTATGTCAGACTTTGAATATGTTCCAGAAAGGCACGAAATTCACGAGGCATAAACTTGAGCAAATTATTCTGATCAAAAGTCTGCTTCATAATCCCAACTTGCTCCTTGTCTTTTATTTTACGCCAGGGTAACTCGCCAGTAATAAATTCTGCCAACATGTAGTAGAGTGACCAGAGATCGTCGTGTCGGCCTAATTCTTTGTTTAGATGGGCATTGACGGATGCGTAACGGACGGTCCCACGAAAACCAGCAACCTGCCTCGGTGGTCGAATTTCCCCATTTGTTGTAGTGTACTGACGAGCAAGGCCGAAATCAAGCATAACTATGGTGCGAGGACTAACAGATCCGGGTCCAATTCCATTTCCCAAGGCAAAATTAGAAGGTTTAATGTCACGATGCAAAAAACCGACGGCATGAATGTTTTCGATGGCTGTCAGAATTTGTCGGCCAAGCCTGACGGTGGTGGAAATCGAGAAGTAGCCTCGGCGAGTTGAACGCCTGAGCTCTGCAAGGTTGCGACCCTGAAGGCTCATAACGATGTAGTTATACTGATCGTTTCGACCGCATCCGATAAATCGACAAACGTGGGGCTTTCCTTGAAGTCTCTTCAAAACTGCGACTTCCATTTTCAAAACCTGTTTGGTTTGTTGGGAGGATTCGACTTTAATGGCCACCTTTTGTTGCGTAAGGGCATCCTGAGCCTCGTATATCTCGCCAAAACCGCCACCCCCTAATTTTTTCAAGACTTTCCAGCGGTCTTTTATGATGGTTCCGACGGTAACTATGTCGCTTGCAGTGGACGTCATGACTAAACATTAAGAAAAGGGCATTTATTAGTGCGAGAACCTGAAAAGTGTTCGTAAATTTAATTTAGCCTAGCAGTGTTTATACTCAAAGCTCCAAGGCGAAAAAATGGGCCTAGGTAAAGCCTGATTTCACATTAGAAAGGCCACTTTGAGCTAAAATCAATGCAGTCTGCAAAACCGTGTCGGCCTGTTTTTCTTAATAAAAAGCGGAAATTTCGCAAACGCGGTCCACCAATTTTTGGAGGAGTTAATGCTAGGAAATACCTAAATTGAAGCATATTTAATAATTCAAAAACAGCAGCATCTCTTGAATATCTAGGCATAACATACTGACGTGCAGATAACTCAATGGTCACAAAAGAGCGCTTGGAACTGTAAGGATGCTGGACTTCAAAGACTTCCCGAACCGCAGGGCGGTGGAACCTCCTTCAAATTCATCAGCGCCGAAAGGGTTAATTAGCAAGAAGAGGATTCACGAGCCCTTAAAGCCACTAAGGCCAAAAAGTTCCCGCCATATGTAGTTTAGACAAACAGAACTCTGGCTGCTCATTCGATAATGGCAGCAAATGTGCCAGACATCACTTTGAAATAGTGACATTAAATGTTTTCTTAGTAACTCACAAGTCAGAACCTAGACGTGAGATTTCGGCAAATCAAGAAGACTTCCGGCAAGTGGGTGATTGAAAAATAAGGTCGACAGATTCGGGAACCACAAAAGGTGGCAATGGTATTTTGATACAAAAATGAGTCTTTGTCTAGGTAAATCCGACATACAAACTGCCGAAGATATTAACGCAAACACTTCACAAACTGCCATGGGAATAAAATATGCACATAACTTACCGTTGCCGAAAAGGCCAAGAATGGAAATAAAACGACCTCAGATGTAACTAACTTCAGAACATTTATGCCCACTTCAAAGAGCACGCGCGCGGATCTGGACACGCAAATAAACACAGATCAGAAGGCAATATCAATTCTCAATATCAGAACACAAAAGACAAGTAAATTTCACTAATTATTTCCTGAAAGGATTAAGATCATCCGGTGAGTCGTGCATAAACAGCAACGTGAACATTGGATATAAATTATTTTGCGCAAGAGTTTTGAACTGTGAAGCAGCCAAATTTGCAGACGACATAAAGACGGAGTGTAATTTGGGGCCCTGTCGACAAAGACCGATACAGATGAACCTAAATCACTCGGAAGAGTGGTCAAACCGTCGGCTCCTGCGGATCAACGTTGGTAAGTGTAGCACACTTCGCCTAGGCAACACAGCCGGGTCCGCCAGCGCAAGAAACCACTTTTTGTGAGTTAAATCTCACGAGACGTCAAAGCCGAAAATGACGTCGGTGTACTGACGTCGAACTCACTAAAACCATCCGCTTGTTTTTTGAAAGTGGCAAAAAACATAATGTCCGGGCTGTACGCCATCGAGCATGCATTTATGGATTTCGAGGAAAACGTTTTCTCAGACATCTTCGGAACTAGCATCCAGTCGCACTTTAAACACAACATATAAGCCTAGAGATTGTAAGTGCTCGATGATCAAAATTGTCTCGAAAGAGTTCACAGGAGAGCCACGAAACTCCTTTCCCTATGCAATCCGACTTATAAATCTGAACTTCTTATCTTTGAGTTATAAGCAACTTTACTGGGATCTTTTGCAAGCATTCCGCATCGTGAGGAGGCTGGACTGCAGCTTGGCCTTTTAGGATTTTTGAATTCGCCACCAAGAGAAACCTCAAATGTCACCGGCTACACCCGCGAATTCAGCGGGCATGGCCGTATGTGCGAAAGATATTCTTCTCTGCCAGAGTGGTCAAACCATGAACTGCCCCTAAGCACATGTTATGATGTCATCATCGAGGCAAAACTTTAAAAAGAACAATGACATATCTACGTTCCAAAATTAGCATGAGTGATAATAGATCGGGCTCCTCCTGTGATACTCGCTTCCATTCTCTCATACGATTATGGGTCCGTTCAAATTATTTCGAACCAGATAATTTCTCTGCCCACGGCATTCTATTTTACATCGCAAATAGGCCACTCAAAGGCTCGCACCTGTTTCCCTCAATAAACTGAGGTAAACTGAACTAAGAGGATGCAGCTAGTTCACGGATGAACAGCGTGAAGTGTCCTAATTACTGATACCATGATTTAACTCACACACCCCGAATATTATTGCAACCTTCCTAAAGAACACGCGAAAGCATCCCATCCAAGTTATGCATTGCAGTACTTGCAATGTATCCCGCATTTTAGGTTGAAGTTAGGGCAGAAAACAGAAAATTACTGACGAAAGAGCGCAACGAACAGGACTGAAAAATGACTTATTGTACGTAAAAATAAACTTGACCGGGAGAGCACATAAAAATTAAGTCGGAGCGTGATTCCCTAACGGGGGTCTGGATTACACCTACCCCCCAATCGAGTCATCTAAGGCAGAAGCATCAGTTAAATATGAGAAATGTGAAAGTGCATAATAATAGTAATGATTTTTTATTGAACGCCCGTCGGGGTCCCATCAAAGCAAGTTAAAATAAATTCTGAATTAGTAGTCCGTTGAAAAAAATGGCTAGTGAGAGGTGAAAAAACTCCAGATAAAAAATATAAAATGATTGGATTAATATTACAGCAGAAAAAAAAACCCTCGATAAAAAATATTAACAGAAAAATGCGGGTAGCACTGGCCTGTATGTGGCGGTATATAACGGATTATAATCCGACATCGTCAGGGCAGAAATAATTGTCAGCCTTGAGGGGTAGGTATGCGGGTCGGACAGGACTGGGCTGCGTGCGGTATCGAGCCCAGCCTAGGAGTGGGGATGGGATGTACGACCAAAGTACTAGTAGACGGCGAATACTGAGGGTTCCACCGTGAGCGTCGAGAGACCGCATGAGGTCGAAATGCGGGAGATGACATGAAGAACCGCGAAAATCGTCGCTATGGGAGAGGGGTTCAGTTCAGTTCAATTCAGTTCAGTTTAATGAGGGAAATAGGCGTAAGCCTTTGAGTACCCTATTGGCAACGTAAAAAATGTGTGGTGTACAGATAGATGTTCTGGGCTGAAATAGTTCGAACACGCCCATAATGGTGGGACAAAATGAGAAGGAGTTACAGGGGTGAGCTCGACTTCTCATCGCTCTTGGTCATTTCGGAACATAAATATGTCCAGATTCTTCTTAAGTATAGATGGTGACATCACAACATCTGCGGGAAGCTCATTCCATGGTTTGACCACCCGAACCGCGAAGGAGAACTTCCGCACATCCAGCCGTGCCTGCTGAGTGCGCAGTTTTAACGGGTGACCTCGGAGGTTGGTCGTGGTAGCAAATTCAAAAAAGTCTTTGAAGGCCAGACTGCAATCCAACCCCTTTACAATGCGGAAGGCTTGCAAGAGATCTCTGCGAAGTTGCCTGTAACTCAAAGGAAAGAGGTTCAGATTTACTAGGCGTGTTGCATAAGGAAAGGAGCTTTGACCCCTAACCATCTTCGTGGCTCTCCTCTGGACTCTTTCGAGGCAGTTTTGATCCACAACAGCCCACGGCCTCCAAGCTTGTATGACGTACTCTAAATGCGGCCGGACGAATGTTCCGAATGTCTTAGAGAAAGCTTCTTCGTCAAAGTCCATAAACGCACGCTTGATGGCGTACAGTACGGACATTGCGGTTTTTGCCACCCTCGAACAGTGGGCGGATGGTTTTAGGGAACTTGTCGTCAGCACAACGAGGTCCCTTTGGTCTTCGACCTCTTGTAGGGCTGCACCGCCCAGAAAGTAGCCTCTTGTGCTGGCGGATCTGGCTGTGTTGCCTAGGCGAAGTATGCTACATTTGGCAACGTTGAACCGCAGGAGCCAACGGTTTGACCACTCCTCCAACCGATTCAGGTTCATCTGCAGTCTGTTTTCATCGGCAGGACCCCGAATTACAATCCATATCTTCATGTCATCCGCAAACATTGCTACTTCACAGTCTAAATCTCATGCGGCATCGTCCACGTAGATAAGGAACAAAATGGGTCCCAGAACTGAACCCTGGGGGACACCACAATCGACCATAGCCGGATCTGATTTTCCCCGACCGACGCACACAACCTGGTGTCGACCCACAAGGAAGTTTTCGATCCATTTAAGGAAGTTGCCACCGGTCCCTATTTTTTTCAGCTTATGTAAGAGTCTTTGGTGTGGCACAGTGTCGAAAGCCTTCTGGAAGTCGATGAAGGCTATGTGGACCGCGTGCCTGTCGTCGAGAGCTCGGGTCCAGCTCTGCAGAGATTGCAGCAGGTTTGTCGTGCAGGATCTTCCTGCTCGGAACCCATGTTGGCATTTTGATAGCAGGCCGTGAACTTCCAGGAATTGCATCAGTTCACTCTTTATGATCCTTTCCATAACTTTGCAGAGAATGCGTGTCAAGCTTATGGGCCGGTAATTTGTCGTCGCTACCCTGTTACCTCCTTTGTGTAGCGGAGTAATATGCCCCAGCTTCCAATCGACAGGAAGTGTTCCAGTGTCAAATGACGTTTGAAAGAGCATCGACAAAGGCACAGAGAGCTCACTGGGAAGTTCCTTCAGAAGCTTGGGTGGAATCTCGTCTGGTCCTGGCGACTTCGATTCGTGATGGTAGATGATTTAGAAACCAGTTCAAAATAGGGTTTTCCAATGATATAATTGAGGTTTACCACTTGAGCTACCACTAAGTCCCAAGAGGACCTTCTTCGAAGTCAAGAACCTGAGCCTTCGGGATTGAGACCGTTAACAGTGCCTTTATGCATTCGGGTGTAAGGTTTTTGTGTAATTTCGACTTGAATACCAGTAACTTAGGTGATTACCTAATTTATGGCGGAAGATTATTCTAAAGGAATGCATATTTGGAAGCAAAGAAGAGGGAGCGCTTAGATGTAGTGCAAAGAGGCGGCGGCGGAATCATAATGGAGGAGTTGTGCAAGGCGTAAGACCGATCTCTCGAAGTGAGAGTGTCAATGAGCGGATGATTGGAGCTACAGTTGATGCGATAAAGGGAGCAAAGGCCAGCTTCGAGTCTTCTAACCCACAAAAACTTAATGTTCACCAGCTGACATCTCTGATTATAAGAAATACTGAACCAAGCTTGAGAGAACAGTTTCCGATTGAAAACCCTCTGAACATTTTCGATTTTATTACGGTGGCAGGTGTTCATTGAACCAAAGAACGGACAACAGTATTCGAGGACTGGAAGAACAAACATTTGATAAAGTCTAAGCTTCATTGCCGGAAGGAAAAAAGTATGCGATATGAATCCACATATCTGCGCGGCTTTGGCAGCGATTCTATCTGCATGAGGTGATAAAGCAAGCTTATTTGTATAACTTAGACCCAGGTCCTTTATGGTGAGACATTCTGAGAGTGGGTAATTCGAAAAATTATGTGACCGGGAAGTTTGGTAGGACCAAAAGACATGAAACTACACTTGGATGATGAAAAATCCATCTGCCATGTCGAACTCCATCTGCTTAAGCGTAGTAAATCTGCATTAATTTTTTCAACACAAACATTTGCGGTGTCCTTAGAGTATGAGTAAACACACTTGAGGTCATCGGCATAAGTAAAAGTTTGCAAATTTCCGAGTTCAGTCGAAATATCATTGATGAAAAGAGGGAAGATTAGCGGACCCAGAACCGTACCTTGAAGTACGCCACTCGTGATCCAGTGAGGTGTCGAGCAGCTATTACCGACCATGTCCTTCTGATATCGGTTGGACAGATAGGACCTGATGAAGTCGAGTAGAGGCGGCCGGATGCCGAGAGCTTCCAATTTTACTAAAAGACGTCTATGAGGCACCTTGTCAAAGGCTTTGCCAAGATCAAGGTAAATAACTACCAGTGACTGCCGCTCATTACGAAGAGAAGTGAATAGATGAAGAAACGCCCAGTGAAAAGTTTCGCAGGTTCGCTCAGGTAAAAATGCTACTGACTAGAGCTCAGAAGCCGATTAGCTAGACAGAAGTCAGGAATTCCATTGAAAATAATCCTTTCAAGAAGCTTTGCTAGAGACGACGTTTTGTGCACGCCCCGATATTTATTAACATCGGACCGAGATCCAGAGTTGAAGAGGACAATGATAATTGACGTTTTCTATGTTTCAGGAAAGAATCCTTTTGAAATGTCAACCGAGAATAAGTGACTAAGCAAGATGGGAAGGTCGAATGCCTGTTTAATAATCGAATTCGGAATTCCGTCCGTTCCTGAGCAGTGTGAGTATTTCAAACGACTTGTGTGTTTCTTAATGAGATCTGAGGAGACATCGATTGTGCTCTGTGTCCTATGTGAAAGTGATCGAAAGAAAGGGACCGGATCGGACTCGGTAGTAAGGTGTTTTGCGAAGAATGCACTAAACAACTCCGCCTTGTCAGTGTCATCTGTTAGGAAGACTTTGTTATCATTTAGCATGGGTGGAAGTTCATGACCACGCTTAGAGGAGGACCGATGACGGAAGATGCTAGCGACGGATTTGCCAGGGTTTGAACCACTGAGAGCAATTGATTCTGTTTGCCTGTCGCGCGCTTGGCGCATCCTTGAGGCCATCTCAAATATCTCTGTGATTCTTAGATGAACTGATAAGGAACTAGTGAATGGGTCACGCAGCTGTCGCCTCAACTTTTTGAGTCTGTTGTGAAGAAAATGAGGAACAAGGGAAGCTGAAGAATTAGGCTTGAGATATCTACGCGGCAAAAACTCTAGAATGTCCTTGGAAACGTTGGACATGACGTCACGAAGAATGGTTGCATCGTTACAGGGGAGGAAGCCACACCACTCCAGTGATCTAATATAGTTTTTTATTAAATGGTGTTTTTTCATAATTTCAATTGCCCACATTTAAGGTTAAGGGGACGTTTTGCAGCCATAAAGTACTGAATGCAAATTCGAACACAACCTATGTGTTTCGTTTACATTGACACTACCAGTGGCGAAAACATTGTGACAGTCTCTTTATAAATAAGCAGAGAAATTTTCAGTTTTTCACTTGTAGTAATAGTAGGCAAAAATATATTTTTGACTGAATTTTAGGACAAGCAGGGAGATACTGTACATTATTCAGCTGATGTCAATTAAATAGGCAGTTTTATATAGAGAACTGTTGGTGGGCCATGGGAAAACCCCTTGCTTTTTGGAGAAGGCAGAATGCGTACGGGCTCATTAACTTTTTGGAGTGCAAATACTGTCGCTAATGGGAAGGTAAATAGGCGGGTCGGGAACATATGAGTAAATATGGGCTCAAAACGATTCTTGTCAACCTTAAGTTCCTAAATCAGACGATGTTCTTCGCTGCAGATGTGATCCTTATATTTTTGAGTAGACAGCAGAGTCAACGGCCAAGTTGCTGGGGCAGGAAGACCCAACGGGATCGGTTATAGTCCGCCTATAATACAGCCGAAGTTGGGTTATCAAGGCAGTTGCGGCCACGATACTTCTTTGGTGAGCGATTGAGCTGCTAGCGGAAAGCAAAAATAGACGAGGCTCCGTAAACATCAACAGCTCGCTGAGGGTCAAATGCGGGAATGACGTTAAAAATACACGTAAATCATCGTTCGGGGAGGGATATAATAGGACACAGTAAATTCTTCATGAGCTTAGGATGAGAGCATGAGAATTTTTGAGGACGGAAGACTTGGGCTGGAAACGACATTGGTGGGTGAGGGCGAGGTCAGTTTCCTTATGAGGGCCAGCGATGACGAAGCGCAGACGGCTTAAAGCGTGTACACTGACATGGCCCCCTTAATTCTTTCAGAGGTTGGTCAGCGAGGACATCGCGTTCTGTGAAGGTCACGATGCATGAGCAGAAAAATCTGCAGATGTCAACCAGATCGCCCAAACAATCCTCTGTCAATGCCCGCTATCCCAAAGAAGCCGTACTCAGTCAGTGTAGTTGGGGGCAATTGGGTTATGCCTTCGAACGCCCTATCTGTATGTAAAAAGTCGAGCAAATAAGCAGCAATGTGAAAAGATTACAGCATTCAGTGAATGCAGACATCGGTTCACATAGGTCACTGGTTATGTTTTTGCAAATTCACATAGTCCGCTTGTTGCTGCAGCATGTCTGTCAAGCCGACATGTAAATGTCTTCACAGATTAAGATATATCAATCGTCTCGAGCAGATTATTCCATGGTTCCGCGACCCGGTTGGAGGAAAAATAATTTCTCACATTTAATCTACCTTGAGGCTCACGTAGTTTAAAGGGATATCCCCGGATATTAGTTGTGGTGACGAGTCGGAAGAAGTCGTCGCACCGAAGGACGCAGTCCGAGCCACGCACGATACGGAAATTTCGTACCAAGTCTCCGCGCATTTGCCTTTAACTCAGAGGATGGAGACTAAGGTTAGTTAGGCGGATTTCGTATGCAATGCACCCTGAACTCCTATTTATTTTGCTGCTCGCCTCTGCGCCCTTTCAAGCATATTGTAATCCTGCTGCGTCCACGGTCTCCAAGTCTGAATTATATATTCGAGATGCGGCCTTACAAACGTGTGAAAGACATTGAAGATGCTGTCTTCATCGAAAACTGCGAATGCCCGTTTAATGGAGTATAGCATTGAAGTTGCGACCGTATGCGCCTTACAACCTTGTGTAGAAGGCTTAAGGTTGTCTGCAAAATAGATTCTGAGATGCTTCTGCGTTTTTGGTTCTCGGGGTGACATTCCGTCCAGGTGCTATTGCCGCGTACTAGGAATAGAACAGTTTATTATAGCGCCCCTTGGGCAATGTCCGTCTCCTTTGAACACGGGAAAAAACCTAAAACACACTCATCAATTTCGACTGCACTCTGACTTCATTTGTTTTGGGTGTCTGTTTAGCCAATAGAGCGCGAAATGAGAGTCTGTTTGAAATTAAAAAAAACCCGAGTTCCAGGGAAAAAATGATCGCAAAAGTTTTAAAAAAGAGTGATATGTACAATATAAAAATTGAAGCATGCAGTTTGAAAGA